TTTCTTAATTTCTTTTCCTTTGTTTAATGAATTCTCTGGTAGCCCTTCCGCTAACTTTTAGAGGGGGGGGATCTACCCTATAAAACTTGATAACTATCACTCTCAGTGGCATCAGAAAGTTGAGCATCTGTCGGATGGCATTCTGTATCCGCCTTTCAACATGTAAGCTACGCTAAATTTTATACAATTTGAAATTTCATTTTCCTTTCCTTTAAATTCATTTTAAGTCACTTTAACATTATTTAACTCTATTGCTTTTTTTTCTGATAAACCTCAACGTAAAACTATGTCTACCTCTGACATTTCATCTGGTAGGGATCAATGCGACTTAAAACTTATTATATTCAATAATATTTCCATACCCCCCTATGCCCCCCCCATCTGAATACAGTGCATAATAATGAACTCTTCAACCATGAGTATTTGAATATAATCCCCCCCGGTCTGTCACATGGGCAAGACGAACTCTTTAGTCTTGGTCGACAGTAGTCCTAGAGATGGTAACTTGAACAAAATTACCCCTTGGCGGATAAGGATAAAATGCAAAATTTACATATCTCAATGGTTAAGAACAAATATTCATACCAAATCGGCTGTCACTTGGGTCAACAAGGGTCGCGTACCTCAGCATACCCAAATGAAGGAGAAGATAAGAAAAGAAGTACTACAGGCGTGTGAGTCTGGTACTGAACACCGAGCTGAATTCAAAAAACAATATCAGCCATAAACACTTTGGCTGTCCCTGTGGTGCAATACAGTTTCAACATCCTTAACTGGACCGTAGCTGACATTAAGCGAATGGACGCCAAAATGAGAAAACTTCTCACTTGCTACCTCATGCGTCATCCTGGGGCTGATGTTGATCGTCTGTATGTATCCAGATCCGAAAAGTGGCTACGTAGTATAGGGTTAAAAGCTGAAACCAAAAATTTTATTTTGCTGCACAAAATGCTTATTAACTAGAAATTACAAAGCACGCATACTGAAAAATTGTTTTAGTCCAAAATGCTGTTTCTGTGATAAAAATACGGAAAAAATTGATCATCTTTTATCAGGTTACGTGATCTTGGCACCCATTGAATATAAAACTCGGTATGACAGAGTGGGTCAATATCTGCACTGGAAAAACCTGCAACATTTGAGGAAAGGATACTACAAGAAATTGTTATGAACACCACCCAGACCTGTTTACGGAGATAGAACCTGGAACAATTGTATTGGTATTTACAATACACACAGACGGAACAATCAAAGCTAATCACCCAACATTTGAGATTAGAGGCTACAAAGACTAAATGTGCCTCATTATTGACATATCAGTCCCTGGAAACTGTAATGAATCTTTGAAAATCTTAAAAAACTATCAAAATACAAGCACATTGAAATCGAAATATAAAAATGTGGCTCATGAGAACATCAACAATTTCAGTTGTAGTTGGAGCCCTCAGATTGATTGGAAAAGATTCCAATAGACTTGTTGAAGGGATTACTGGTAGCCCAGGCCTTAAAGAAATACAAAAAAATTGTACTCACGTGTACAGCCCACACCTTACGAAGGTCTTTATCTATGTAAAATATGTGTCTTTTTTGTTTGTTTGTTTTGTTTTTTTTTTTCAATTGCTTAGTGGAAAATGTCATAACGCAATTTCTGACCTTAGGTCTCTGGTCGGGACCCGGAAAGAAATGAGTATACACCAGAAATCAAAGGAAATAAAATTATATCAGGTTGCTCGGTGTTAGCAGCCACTGAATATAAAAACTGGCATGATAGAGTGGGTCAATATCTACACTGGAAAATATGCAACTTTTACGGGAAGGAAACTGAAAGAAATTCCTATAAACATTACTCAGACCCGGTTATAGCGATAGGACCTGTAAGAATTTTATGCGACTTTACAATACACACACGCAGAACAATCAAAGCTAATCGCCCAGACATCGTGATCAAAGACCACAAAAACAGAATGTGTTTTCTTATTGACATGGCAGTCCCCCCAGACTGTAATGTATCTTGGTTTGATTTGTTTTACGGCATATCAACCACAATGGGTTATTTAATGCCAATAAAATTTCCTTTTTTTCAAAAATGTATAGTAGGTAATATTTTTTAAAAATTGATGCCATTTCTGACCTTAGGTCTCTGGTTGGGACCCTGAAGGAAATGAGTAAATAACAGAAAATTAATGCTAATAATAATAATAATAATAAATACAAAAAATTGTTCTCACGAGTACAGCCCACACCTTACGAAAGGCTTTGTCTATGTTTTTTTTGTTGTTGTTGTTTTTTTTTTTCAGTGGAAAATACCATAATGCCATTTCTGATCTTAAGTCCCTGGTTGGGTCCCGGGTGGAAATGAGTAAATAACAGTAATTAAAGCAAATAATAATCATAATAATAATGTTTTAAGAGGGACAAAGAAAGCCTTATTCAAGCAGCACAAGATCAAAAGCTAAAATCAACAAAGACTGTCACTTATGCCATAAATTTGATGAAACTGTTGATCACATAGTACCAAGGTGGCCAGTCCTTGCTGAGAAAAATATATTATTAAATATGACAAGCTAGTATAATATATTCTGTTCGAACGGTGGTATTGTAGTCCCGGATACATGGCAGAAATGCCAACTGAATGATGTCACAAATGGTGAAGTGATTATCTTGTGGAATTTCCAAATCTTCTGCAGATAGGAAAATTAAAACAGACCATACATCATCATAGAAAGTTTTCTAAAAAAGGAACCCGACAATCAATTGCTCGGAATTTGCGTACACGATTCGAATGTTTCTAAAATGAATGTTAAAAACTGTCAAATTATAAGGAGCTTCAAATCAAAGAAACGAAAGAGTGGAAACTTAAAACTACGATTATCCCCGTTGTGATAGGGGGCATTGGATAAAGAAGGGCGACCAAAAAATCATGCTAGTAAAATTCCTGGACACATCAGCATTTCAGAGCTACAAAAGATTACTTTATGAGGATCTACACATATCTGCAAAACTCTCTCCATCAAAACGAAATGTTCCAAATGTGCATAGTTAAGTCCTACAGCGCCATTTTTACTCACAGACACCGGGGATGACTTGGTAATTAGGAACTTAAAAATGAATCTCTTGCAAGATGAAACCACACCCAATAATAATAATTATTATTATTATTATTATTATTATTATTATTATTATTATTATTATTCTCGTTACGGAGATAGGAACTGTAAGAATTTTAAGGGACTACACACAGACAGAACAATTAAAGCTAACCGCCCAGACATAGTTATTAGAGATCGCAAACAACAAAAGAATTGCCTCCTTATTGACATGGCATTCTCTGCAGGCTCCAATGTATCTTTGAAAATCTTCAAAAAGCTATCAAATTACAAGCACCTTCAAATTGAAATCTCAAAAATGTGGCACATGGGAACATCAACAATCCCTGTTGAGTTGGAGCCCTAGGATTGGTTGGAAAAGATTCCAGTATACTCATTGAAGGGATACCTGGAAGTCCATGGCTTAAATAAATATAAAAAAATGTTCTCCCGAGTACAGCC